GCCTATGTGGTTTTCTAGTTTTATTTATTTTTTGAGTTGGAGTCTCACTTGGTCGCCCAGACTGGAGTGCAGTGGCCGCTTCCGGCCACCACAGCCTCGCCTGCTGGACTCCAGTGATCCTTCCGCCTCAGCCTTCCGAGTAGCCGGAATTACAGGCATGTGCTACCACACCCGGCTGATTTTTTAAAATTTATTCTATTGTAGAGATGAGGTCTCGCTGCCCAGGCAGGTCTCGAACCCGCGGGCTCAGGCAATCCACTCACCTCAGCCTCCCATAGGCGCGGGATTACAGGCTGAGCCACCGAGCCCGGCTGTTTTCTAGTTTTAAATTATCTATCTCATAAAGGTCTTCAGTTATAATACCAACTTGTGAGGTTACAAACAAAATACTGCCTATAACCTGCCTGGTGGACAATCTAGAAATCAACATCGTAAACCATAAAAATATGCATACCATTAATTCCACAGCTATAAATTTATTCTAAGAAAACAATTATGATGTTGGACAGAGATTTATCTACAAGGTAATTTAAGGAAGCATTGTTTAGATTAACAAAACACTGGCAAGAATCTAAAGCAAGTAATTGGCTATATGAGTTATGACATCCATATGACATAATACTGGGCATTCACTAGAAGTAATGCTAGAAAAGGAAATTTAATGACATTGGAAAATGTTCTTAATATAACTTGAATAGAATTAAGCTTCAGCCGGGCTCGGTGGCTCAGCCTGTAATCCCGCGCCTTTGGGAGGCTGAGGTGAGTGGATTGCCTGAGCCCGCAGGTTCGAGACCTGCCTGGGCAGCGAGACCTCATCTCTACAATAAATCAAAAAATCAGCCGGTAGCGTGTGCCTGTAATTCCGGCTACTCGGAATTTTTTTCCATTGTTTTTAGTACCTTTTGCCTTTTCTATTCAATCACTTTCTTTTTAACTGCTTGAGGAAAATGAATGACTGATTTGGTACATATTGGATTCTTAGTGTCTCCAATAGGAGTAAATAAAATCTAGGCCTTATTAGAGGAACCATGTTTGTCATTTGAAAGTTACTTACAGGCTGGGCTCAGTGGCTCAGCCTGTAATCCCAGCACTTTGGGAGGCCAAGGTGAGTGGATTGCCTGAGCCCGCGGGTTCAAGACCCGCCTGGGCAACTTGGCGAAACCTCATCTCTACAAATAAATCAAAAATTAGCCGGGCATGGTAGTGTGCGCCTGTAGTTCCAGCTCCTTGGAAGGCTGAGGTGGAAGGATCGCCGGAGCCCAGCAGGTCGAGGCTGCGGTGGCCGGGAGCGGCCACTGCACTACAGTCTGGGCGACAGAGTGAGACTCCAACTCAAAAAAAAAAAAAAAAAAGAATCAAGCTTCAGATGATTGACCATATGATCCCATGTTGGTTAAAAAAAAGTATACAAAAAAATCTAGATAGATATGTACAAATGTTAGCAACTGCTACCTATGAGAGGACTATTACAGGTGATTTTTACATTTTTTGTGCTTTTCTGATTTTTCTAATTTTTCTACACTAATCTATATTTTAAAAATTATTTTCTAAAACAATTGGAAAGATATATTTCAAAATTCCATTGGTTTTCTCTGACTGCAAAAATGGTGGATGATTTAATTTTTTAGCATTATTTTCTACACTTCTCAAAATTTTGTATAAGATTAGTTTAAAAAAGAAGAAAAGAGACCAGGTATGGTGGCTTATGCCTGTAATCCCAGCGCTTTGGGAGGCTGAGGCGGGAGGATTGCTTCAGCCCAGGATTTCAGACCAGCGTCTCAGGAGACAGAGGCAGAATGACTGCCTGAGCCAAGGAGATGGGGGCTGTAGTAAGCCATGAGTGCGCCACTGCACTCCAGCTTGGGTGACAGAATAAGACCCCAACTCAAAAAAAAAAAAAAGAAAAGAAAACCAGTCACAAAAACTCCAAGGCTGTTACCCTGGAGAAATATACAGAAAACTAGGTAAAACGCAAAGAGACAGGCATATGCCAGTGGACACAGTGATATTAAACTGAGCTCCTCCACAGCAGGGCTTAGTCTACTGGGCTCTGCACTCCCAGCATCTACCAGACAGCATCTTAGGTGCTCAAGACCTGTTATGCTGGTGGAAAGTACTATCACTCCCATTCTAGATGTCTTTTCTTTCATTTTCCCCACCAATGTCAAGACACTGAAAAGTGTTTGTTGAGTATCAGAGTCCTGACAACAAAGAGTAACATCAAATATTCAGAATATCTAAACTGCCATAAAAAATTTTTAGAATCTCTAAACTGCCGTAAAAAGGTTTCTATTTAAGAAAACTAACCCAAATGTAATAACTCTGTAATATCAAAGAAAATAAGTTCCTATCATTAGGAATTCTTTTCCTCATTTGCCTTTTTTTTGTTTGAGAGCCATGGCAATCTTTTTATACTTGATCTTAGCCAACAGGCTAAGAAGTGATGAGAACCATAGCAATCTTATTATGTGATGTCTAAAGGTAAAAAATTACTAAAGTGTGTTAGCATTTACCAAAGTCGTTTTCTTTTACAGGATTCAGCTACTAAATGCAGGGAGACTACAAGAACGGCTGTCCAGCTGGCCTCAAAACCCTCTACACTAACAAAGGAAGTGAGCCCGAAAGCTTTAACCTCTCCTGGACTACGGCAACCAATGTTTGGTCAAGTTGCATTAAGCCGAGTCTTTTCCTTCTGTTCTGTTCACAAGCTCTAGACTAGAAAAACAATTATCAAGACCTTAAAGACCAAACTCCAAAACTGAAAGGAAGGAAAATAAGATAATTAGATTCCTAACCCTTCAACAAGCAAAAGCTGACTGGTCATAGGGCAGCAGGCTGACTTTTAAGCAACTTGCCTAGTGGTCACTTCAAATCCAGTTTTCTAGAATTTTTGCCTCCACAGACTCCTGTACAAACCTCAATCTTAGCACTTAATGTATTAACTGAAATTGTTTCTGTGTCTTTCCCAGACAAACTGCACATTTCTCTGGTATGGAGAATTTGCTGATTTAATACCCCAGCATGAACTCATTTAATACTCAGTACCAAGTACAAGTTCTTGGGTCACTGTAGACAGAAAATAAACATCCCTGAGCTGCTAAAATAAATCACACAATTGATGTTCTGTAGCATTCTTGCAGAGGTGAAAGGCACAAAGCTGTAATAAGCCTAAGAGCCTTTACCTAAAGGAATGAAATGTTTAAAAATAATAAAAATAAATAGTTAAGTAAAAAATTAGAGGGGAGACGGAGAAATAGAAGACTTTCCGGCAGAAATGGTCCCAGTTTATCCAGTTCACTTGAAAGGCAGGAGAAAGGGAGTGACTTTAAAGATGAGAAAGAGAAGCCACAACTGACTACCCCTCCACCTTAGGAAGAGATACTTTTGAGTTTCTAGTTCATGATATGTAAATCCCTAAAGCATAAACAAAGCTCTGACTTCAACATGGTCAGTCACAATCACAGAGCAATTCCTAGGGAATAAGAAAGGATGAGGAGAAGCACGTGTGCAGCGAAGCGCATGCACGCACAGGCTCTCTCCTCTCTCCCTCCTGGTCTCTTGCACACAAGCACATGCACAGACGAAATTCCATAGTGGAGTCAAGCTAAAGATCCACCCTCTTCTAAGATTCCACCTGCCTGGTAAGGGTCTGGTCATAAATATCATTCATATCTTGATTTTCAGAGTCAGGCTTTTCAAAGAGAGTTTGTAGGAAATAACCACATGTATTCACAGAGCCATCATTATACATCATTTTCTTGTTCATGCAGGGCACCGCGGAAGCACTCAATTTGGATGGGTAGCCTGCATTTCAAATAGATGGGAGCTCAGAGACCAGAATGAGGCGTGTTCAATGGTTCTCGACCCTGACTGCACATGAGAATCACCTGGGGAGTTTTGAAAACGACTAGTACAGACTCAACTCAAACCAGTTAAGTCAGAATTGCTAAGGGTAAGGTCTGAGCATTGATGGTTGTTTTTTTTTTAAGCTTCACAAAATATTTTCATTAATTTTTTTTTCAGCAAGGTAAAAGCAAGTTGTTTTTTTTTAAGTCTTTACTAGAGATACAAGAACATTTGTTTTAAAATACTCCATGGAGAGAAGTGGCTTTAATTACAGAAGTCTGACAAAATGTTGATAATTACTGAAGCTAACTGATGAACACATGGAGGTGATTATATTATTCACTGTACTTTTGTATATTTGAAATTTTCTATAATAAAAAGTTATTTTATAGAAATGGAAGAAATAAACGTTTGTTCTCTTTCCCCACCAAAATTATTCAGGTCTATGTATGTAATGTGTTTAATATAAAAATATTTCTAAAAATATATTAAAATAAAAGCTTTGCAAGTGATTCTAGTGTACAACTAGAGTTGAGGACCACGGGGCTAATTGCCTCACTAAAGTGGGGGCATTTTGATTTAGGAAATAAAGGTTCAAATAAGCAGCAAAGGGCAATCCAAGTGTGAGAGATTCAGCTCAGGTTTACGGCAAGATGGAGCCTGGTGGGGGTGCAGGTCCCCTCTAGTTGGTCACCATCTCCAATTTCTGTCACGCAAACATTTGCCTGAATTTTGAGAATCCTCATTCACAAGCAAACTGCAAATACACACACACGCATTATGTTTGTGTGTATGTATCAGTATATATATGATTTAAGACAGCTCTGCCCATTATATTCAGTAGCATGTAATTTTTTAAAAACACTATTTGTGGAAGCCTTGCCCATGATCTAAAATGCTTTGATCTGTGGAAAAGTTACACAAAGGCTTTCCTAAGGAGCAGGCTGGGCAGTAGTTGGGGTGTGGTCTTTGTAACTGGCAAGGTCTTCATCTACCTAAGTGACTTATGGGCGATGCTGTTTAGATGGCCCTGAATGATGTCTTAAACCAGGTGCTGCTAGCAGGATGACTCAAAAAAAGCAATCAAGTCTCAACCTAATGAACAGAGAATGCAACGGACTCTCCGCATTCCACCTCCAAAATCCCCAACTCACCTATTCTTCTCCATTTCATTGTGAGTTGATCTGAAAGAGGGAACAATAAGAAAAGAATAAGATTATTTTTGTCTTAAAGGACTACATCAACACCCACACAATTATTTTAACTTATTTCTCTACAAAGTTGGTAGGAGAGAAGATAGAGAAAGGGAGAAAAATTTACCAGACTCTACTGAAGAAATTAGTCCATATGGGGAGTTAGATAAATGTAAATATCTAAAACAGAGTTCAAGGAAAGGCGACAAACCAAGAGGTATGCATTCCCTAGTGGACAAATAATCCACTTTAAGAAAGGACATAAAAGGGGTCTATTTATACAAAGAGAAAAACAGCTGCATGGTGTAGTGTGAATTTGGGTTATATAATCCCACAAAGCTTCCCTTAGGCTAAGTAAGGGTAGAACAGTGGAGGTGGCAACCCTCACTACTCCCCAGCAGTTTTTTCTAGGGGTAGCATACACTGACATTTTATGCTAAATTGGTTGGCTATATCATTTTCAATGGTAAAAATAATCCCCCTCCCCAGTCTTTTGACTCCCTGAAGTAATTATCTTATCATGTACAACCTCCTGAAATTGCTACCAAATGATTTTAGGAAGGGGTTTCCAAAACTCAGTTCAACATAAAGGCGATGGGCTGGTCAAAGCAGAAGTCAGGGTGAATTCTGAAGTCTAGCTTTGCCACTAACTGGTACTGTGGATGAAATATAATTCTTTATCATCCTGTCGTAGGCTAACTCCTCTGTAAAATGGGAATAAAAATAATTGCCAATTATCTACCAAACAAGTGTGGATCGATGAGGAAGCAACTGTAAAAGTGATTAGAGAGCCTTGGATGGAAGGTGTGGTGGACATGAAATCTCATTATTAGTGTGCTTATGGTCAACCTTGAAGACAAGGTCTCCCTAAAACTTTATGAACAAGTTTCCACAAAGTCACAAGAAGTCAGTCAATGTGGCCCCTTTAGTGTTCTCCTCATACAATGCCTTCTTAACCAGTTATAAGTAAACCTGAAGAATCTCCCAGAATTACAAAGGAGCTAAATCCTGGCTTTGCTTGTGAATGTCTCTAGAATGTAACTGGCTCAGAGGTTTATTCCGGCTCAGGTCATGAATTCTCTGGGGCCATAATCAGCACCTTATTGGGCCTAGGAGATGAACCATGGAGGAACCCCACTTCAAGAATGTTCAGCCACTCATTTACATCAGGAGAAATCACCACACCAGAGACTAGGGACAAGGGCAGCGAGTGTGTGTGCTGGAGAGGTGGGGAGAGGAAGAGGAAGTTGCCATCAATGAGAAATTCCCAATCCAGCATTAAAACTTCTCCTCCCAAGGCCCTTGGGAGATCGATTTTTATTCACTGGAAAAATGAAAAAATGATGACAGTATTTTAAGTTGTAGAATCTTTGTTTTCTAGGTAAATGATTTGTGGACCTCAAAACTGATTAACTTAAAAGCTTTAAACTGTTGAGCACAGTGGCACGTGCCTATGATCCCAGCTACTTGGGAGACTGAGGCAAGACGATCCCTTGAGCACAGGAGTTCAAGACCAGCCTGGAGAACACAGTGAGATCCCACCTCAATTAAAAAAAAAAAAAAAAGCTTTAAATGGACTCACTTGGTTATCCCTCAGCATTCTTCAGTCACATTTTTCTGAAGTTTTACTGCCTTCAATGGCCAGCAGGATACTATAGTTAACAAGAATCTGGCCTGTATTGCAAATCTTTGGCTCTAAAGCACATGGCATTTTCGATTTAACCAGGAATAATAAGTTCAAAGTCTGACAGAGTTTTTTTTTTTTTTGAGTTGGAATCTCACTTGGTCGCCCAGACTGGAGTACAGTGGCCGCTCCCAGCCACCACAGCCTCGCCTGCTGGGCTCCAGCGATCCTTCCGCCTCAGCCTTCCGAGTAGCCGGAATTACAGGCATGCGCTACCACGCCCGGCTGATTCTTTGATTTTATTGTAGAGATGAGGTCTCGCTGCCCAGGCGGGTCTCGAACCCGCGGGCTCAGGCAATCCACTCACCTCAGCCTCCCAAAGGTGCAGGATTACAGGCTGAGCCGCCCAGCTGGATCAAAGCATATGATAACAGCTGGTCAAGATTCCCCTGTTTAAATGTAAACTAGGACCATACCCAGTAGGTGGAGGAGAGGAAAATGAACAGGTTGAAAATATAATATAAAGGGTACTCTTATTTTTAAAATTTCTGGATTTTTTTGGAAGAGACATAGACAGACTGATAGGAATTCTGAATGCCCAAGATAAACTTTTTAACTAACTTCATAGGAAGGACAACATCTCCAAGCTTTGAATGGAATTTTAAAGACTACAGATTTTATTTGATTATTTATAAGTGTTGAACACATGGTGCCTTTTAAAGGGGGCTTATACCTAATGGCTAGGGCATTGCTGAAGTGCATGTGATTTACTGAAACTGAGTTAGTTACTAATAAAATGTAAGTCTTTTAAAAATGGTCAGTTCAGAGATTGCCTGCCACCTCTGTTGATGGGTAAACATGTTTAATTAAATCATTATAAGAACACATAGGGCCTGGGCTCGGTGGCTCAGCCTGTAATCCCAGCACTTTGGGAGGCCGAGGTGAGTGGATTGTCTGAGCCCGCGGGTTCGAGACCCGCCAGGGCAACTTGGCGAGACCTCATCTCTACAATAATCCAAAAATTAGCCAGGTGTGGTAGCGCGTGCCTGTAGTTCCAGATTGGAAGACTGAGGCAGAAGGATCGCCGGAGCCTAGCAGGTAGAGGCTGCGGTGGCCAGGAGGTCACTGCACTCCAGTCTGGGTGACAGAGTAAGACTCCAACTCAAAAAAAGAACACACAGGTACTTTGTGTCAAAATTATTTTCCATATGATTATATGAAAGATTTGATAACTGAAAAAGGTCAAATTTCACCATTTAAAAATATACCCTAATAAAAAGAGAACGATGTCAAATTACAGTGTATCTGAGAAATGGGAAAAGCCCTTGGGTTCAAAAAGATTTCCCACCTCAGATCAGCTATTTAGCCACTGTCTCCTAAGAGAACTGGGTGGCAAGTCCTGAACTTCCTCTTTCACATGAGTGCCAAACAAAGCCTGTCTTACCAACTTATCAAAGCACACTTTTAAAAGTTCTAGACTTCAATTCTAAATAATTAGTAATCGATTTAAAAAATCAGTAGGAAAGAAAAAGCATCCCATCTTTCTATACTCCATGGTTCTATGGGTAATTTCAAAACAACTGGTATTCACAAATTCAGTTGTTTTTGTTACTGTTTTAAGCCAGCAACTAGAGAAACCTGAGTAAGATCTGCATTTTCATTCCCCAGCAAGTTTGATATACAGCTAAATCTTATTTTTTATTGTCCAAGGAACAGTACTCCCCCAGACTCTACAAGCAGAGAGTGCAGCATTTCAACCTGTATGAATAAGAATACGCTGTTATTCAAGGGTTATGTAAACCGGCAGTAATCTCTCCCTAGTCCTCACCTCAGTCAAAATTCTGACCATACATGGCCGTGGATATAAAGCTGATTCCAACCAAGGGGTCAAGCTGCTTTTTCTGTTGAGACTGCTTACTCTTCAGGAAAGGGGGCATTCCAAACAGGCTATGAAGTGTGTGATGGCACTTAAATAAAACTACCTGCTCTTGTTCATATTGTCTGGTTGAAGCCATCTCTATGTTTAACACTGGTCTCTCAGAAATCCTTACACCAATGTATGTATTACACAAATTCATTATTAGTCAAGTATATGAACAACTATGACAGACCCATTTCAAACCATGGAAAACAAACCAAATCCATTAGCAGAAATAATAGCACTTTCCCCAAAATCAGGATTTGCAGCTATTTTTCAGAAATATTGCTGGTTATTAAAGAGAAGATAAGAGAAAGAATCAATTTCTTAGCTTGAAATTCCCAACTTTTCTTATTTTTCTTTCCTAATCACCTTTTGGGACCAAGCCACTTCTCTTCAACATCTTATTTTCCTCTCCCAACTGCTAAACATCCCCCATAATCTTCTTGTGAAACTTGGGGAAAAATGAAGTGTTAAGGTATTAAGCTTTCATCAGTAACATGGACAACTCCTCTCAAATCATTAGTGGACAACAAAAAGCAAAAATGGAATACACTTTTCCTGAAAAATAAGCTGATAGGCCTCAAAGTTCTTCCAAACAAAATTTTAAAAATTAAGGCCATAACAAAATGCAACATAGCTTAATGGTTCTTATACCACTGCAGAATACAAGTCAGTAATAACATACTTCTTAAAGGCCCTTAGTACCCGTACACAAAACTACTGGCTACCACCTTTCTGTGATGCTAAGATGGAAGGACAAGGAAAATTCCCCAGGTAATTGCCAGGTTCATCCTTCATGTGCCTTCTTTTTCAAGAGCGTGGCACATGTGTGCTGCTCACATCTTGTGGTTCCACCAACAATACGAAGGACAATGGGGGTGAACCAAGTACAGAAGAGGCAGCAAGAACAAGTGAGTTTTAAGTGGGAACTCCCCGGCTTTTAGTGGTCTGTATTAAGCCACAGAGGCAACCCAAATAGTTACTTGCAGGGAGTTATTCATGAGAGTGAGAGAGGGATAAGAATTTTAATCCAGTGACAAAAATGTCAGTGATCTGAATTTACTGGCATGAAAGGTATAACTGAATGGATCAAATAAAACAAATTTCCTAGTCATCTAATATTTAAGGACAAAGAGGGGGGAAAAGAGCAGTAACATCAATGGAATATTTGTATGAACCAGGAACTATGCATAGGACTTTAATATGTGATTCTACTGACCAGTGAGATTTACAGCTTTTAAGAACCACAGTATAAGACAATCTTTAAGGATAACATGAAAAGTTTGTAGCAGCCAGGCTCGGTGGCTCAGCCTGTAATCCCAGCCCTTTGGGAGGCTGAGGTGAGTGGATTGCCTGAGCCCACGGGTTCGAGACCCGCCTGGGCAACTTGGTGAGACCTCATCTGTACAATAAATCAAAAAATTAGCCGGCCGTGGTAGCACGCGACTGTAGTTCCAGCTACTTGGAAAGCTGAGGTGGAAGGATCATGGGAGCCCAGCAGGTCGAGGCTGCGGTGGCCGGGAGTGGCCACTGCACTCCAGTCTGGGCGACAGAGTGAGACTCCAACTCGGAAAAAAAGAGAGGAAAAAAAAAAAAAGAAAGAAAAGTTTGTAGCATATTAACATTTTAGTATTATATGTTCCTATATCACCAAAGAAGTAGGTCTTAACCTTAACCATTCTTCTTTGCCATTAGAAATAGATGTGACAAATTAGATTATCAGATGAACCACTGTATTTAATTTATATTTCAAATATGAAATCTTATCACTTATGCCAAGTGAGATAATTTGATATGTTTATAAAATCATCACTGTGAAAAGTAATAGAAATAATGTCCAGCATTTTTAATGATAGAAAATTTGTTCTGAATCTGCAATCTCTGAAGGCAAAATATCATCACTGTTGCTAATCTCACTTAAAGCTTTCACAAATTTTGTTCCCAGAAGGGAAGAAAAGCAAATTAAATTTTTTTAAAGGTTCATAAAGAAATATAAAACATTTCTATTTTTCTTTTCAGTCCCCTCAATCCAAACAGAAGGGCTGCTTCTTTCAATGGCTTAAGACCATGTATGCATTACTGAATCATGATCAACACCTAATGTATTTACAAGGTTAGAATCACAACAGGCAACTTACATTCTTCAGTGTGTGTCACGTAAAACACAATCTAAAAGAGAAAGAGAAATATTTACCAAATTACCTGCTACTGCTGTTATTCTTCTTGGATTTGTTCCTCCGTTTTAAGGCATCTCTGTCCTTGTTATTGTATGGTAACATGGAGGCATAACCATGTTCAGCTTCTAGAAAACCGGAGGATCTAGTTAATGAATGAGCCCAGAATATTCAATACTCTCTCCCCTCCACAGTGTTTCCTTTTTCCTTTATGTATTTATCTTTAAAAGAATATTGTGAAAATAAATAAATGGGGGTAAGGTGGAATTCTGAGAACAACGTTGTTGTTTTTTTAAAATTAGGTGAATGCCCTCAGTTGGGAGCAGGTGTAAGGAGGATTCCAGCTGCTCATTGTTGAGAAAGACACAGCAGTGGCTAAGCCCACGGAGTCTGGGTTTCCCAGCGGCAACGTCCAGCAGGTTGGTGTGGGCTAAGTGGGACCAACCGCGGGCGCGGGCGCGGGCGCGGGCGG